TAGCGAGACCACTTTTGCTGGTCCTGCAACCGGTGGCATAGTGGTAGTGGGGGTAGTGGCGATAGTCATCATACTACCGTCTACAAAACAAAACATAAAACGAACGTTAAAAGTCGTTATTTATTCYTTTTCTGTGGTTATTAAGTCTTAGTATACCGCTGCGGCCTGTGGCGGACGCGCGTCCCCGGATAGAAGAAGATGAATAATACTATATATTTATGCACTTTGTATACAGTACGAAATATAATTATCGTATACTACATATAGTTGTATAACGTGAATATTATCGATTTCAGTTAGCGATAATATTTAAAATGTCTAATATACTCGTGTGTGTAAAACTACACTAATTGGTATATATTTTGATTTTTATACTAGAGGAATGGGCAAGTGGGACCTACATTTCTGTAGTGCGTTATCTCTAGTCATTTTACGCTTCTACTGTTTTACTAAATCTCGAAATTGTTTTCTATTAGGTTTTAAATTAGGCAGTTTTYTTGCAGCGTGTAGCGTGTTAAAATATTTATACATCGCAGCAGTATTAAGACCATTGTTGACCTCCCTTGTTGTTTTATAGAGATGACTGTTGACAAAAGGTGTGTCGAAGAATTAATAATTATAATCATAATATTTACATCGGGTTACAATCTATAGTGCAACAGATGTGTATATAATTTCAACTTGTTATTTTTTTAATTTAAACCCTACGCTTTACATAATACGATAAAACAATATATAATAAAAACATATTATAAATGGGAAACATATTGTATAAATGAGTATAATATATTATATAAAATAATATATAATAATTATTAATTATATTATATTTTACATGAGTTGAATAAATCTTAATTGTTTAAAAACAGTACGTACTTACGTGGGTACTCAAAAGGTCATGTTTACTATCAAAGCGTTTTTTTAAAACTTTTTTCTCAATAAATTCTGCCTCGACTTAACCAATAGATCAATAGTTATTCAAATTAGCAACCATTTGYATATACATAGTTATGTATATAATAAGCACACACATCGATTTTTTAGCTTAAATATTTAAAATGCGTTATCTATTAGATATTGAATTAATTCTTTTCGACGTGTTTCCATGTACGGCATAATATCGGGACAGGAAACTATTTACTTTAATGGCATAATCTCATTTAGTGCAATAATTTTACCGATAGTAATAATGATGACAGTTCTCAAAGTCTCAAAGAAGAGTTATTTCTAATATTTTACTGTTCATTTAATAACTACGAATGATTGAAGAACGAACTGTTATATTATGGTAGGTAGAATAGGTATACCTACGCTGTTATGTTTATAAAGAAAATGTGAACTGTAACGAATTAGAGTTACTCAGAGTTAAACTGATAAAGATAATTTTAACGCTCTCCACAATATCAAGTTTATTTATATATTAGCTAGACAAAATAGACWAAATAAATTTTGAAAAGTATACGCCTTTTGATCATTGAAAATGTGAAAACGTCAATTGTGTTGTCTATATAGACGTGTTCACGATGTGATGCATTGGTGTTCTGTTATATATAGGATATTAGTACTAACAATAGTAACTATAACTATTATTTTTCCACACGAGTCGACAGCATCCCCCTTAAAAAAAAAAAGTTGCTAATGTTATTCTAAGATAGGTACTATGTTGTTGGATATTATAGATATAAAAATAATACTAACAATTTCTATATACGCTTATACACATCGTAACACGCGTAAAATAATAATATACCACAACTACATATAATTCCCGTCGGACACAAAAGCTACGGATTTCGTTATCCCGAAAAACCTGGGTTTCTGCTGCACGCGAAATTTTCCGCCACTGTTATTATTATTGATGTTATCGCGTGTTCACATGTCGCGTCCTATTATACTATAACACCGCGATCGAGCTGTACGTTGTTATGTTTACATGGCTACGCTGTAGCCGTAATTACAATAATATTACACTATAGTGCACACGCTTCAGAAATTATAGCGAATATTCGACGTCCGCTGAGATATTGAGCCCACTGAGCTGTTGTAGCTGATGACTTTTAATTTTCTCTATTTTTTGTTCAAGAATCTCAAATTTTTCTTTGGATTTTTATTTTCATCAGATAAGATAGGGACTGTAGTCAATAAATCAACACCATATGTTTTATCTAAATTATTAAATTTTTCATTTTTTGCCTATACTTATGCTTGTAAATTGTAATTTAATATTTCTTAACATTAAAACGCTTATTTATAGTATATAATGTGATGATTTATATTTTATATTATTTAATTTTCCAACGAAATTAAATAAACCATCATAACATTCATCACACAAGGTTCCCGAAAAAGGTTAATTTTATTTTTCGTATAACTTAGCCTGTATTTTTAACAAAGCTTAATTTTTTTTACTCACACACACACACACACACACACACATATATATATATATAATGTTCTAGTATAACCCCATAAAGATTTTATGAGAAGTTTTAGTTGATTAATGATTTAATTAGGAGATAAAGTGAAAGAGTTGAGAAATACTAACTTGTTCTAATCGGGCTAAGCTTATTTGGAAAATCTTCATAAAACTTTTTATCCATTAGTCATTAAAATTGATGTTTAAAAATACATTATAAACTATATTACAGTCTTATTTTGTAACAGAATTTTTCTATATTAATCATTGGTGTATATTAGTTAACAACAATAACTCTTATTTTTTTTTACCTATGTGCAGTATAGTGGGAGTGAAATAACTTAATTACTTAATTTAAAATTACTAGTAAATGGGTTATTTTCATAGACTTCAGCTTTTCTATGAAACAATTTGCAGGTGAATCTAGAAAYCAATAAGAGAAATAATTTGATAATTATTTATGAATTAGGTACGTAATATCAAAAAAGTCGGTTTCGGTGGCAGCAGAGACGTGACACAAAAATAGGRCAATGTAGTTCGTGTGTGTGAGCAATCTCACTATCTCAGTATTGTATAA